ATTTCATCAAAATAAAATAAATGAACTCGAGCTTAATAAGGATAATTCATATGTCATGCGCTGTTCAATCATGTGCTTTGGTGTTAGCGATCGCATTAAAATAAAATAAATGAACAAGATCTTGGTCAGAATGATTCGCCTGACGTGCGCTGTTCAATGATGTGTTCTGATGTTAGTGGTTGCAATGAAATAAAATAAACGAACTCGAACTTAATTAGGATGATTCATCTGATATATGCTGTTGAATACTATGTTCTACAGTCATTGGTTACTTCAAAGGAAAATAATTGAATACGAACTTGATTAGCATATTTCATATGTCATGCGCTATTCAATCTTATTTTGTAATGTCGTCAATCGCTGGCGAGTAAAATAATTGAACACTGTCTTCGTAAGGATAATTTGTATGTTATGTACTGTTCAGTCATGTGTTCGGATGTAAGCGATTACATCGAAATAAGATAAATGAACTCGATTTTTCTTAGGAGGATTCATTTTTAGTGTGATTCTTTAACACGATGCTTGTAGTTCTTATTTTGGTTTAGACATGCGCCAAAACGAATAGATCTATTGTAATGTTATGCTTTTTTTGCGTATACCTTCATTGTGGGACATATCATTATATTTTTGCTGCTATGGGAACCATATATATTAGTAGAAAGATATCAGTTGAAATGATTCCTTTGTAAACTAATATTCAATGATATAACTCAGAGACACGTTTCTTTTTGAAGTGTTCTTTATTTTGGAACAAAGTTATGCTTAGTATGGTTCATCGGCTTTGTGATCTAGCACTAGTTGACGAACTTTCACATTGTATTCTTGATGAGTTACATAAGTGAAGAGAAAGTCCTGGTTAAAAATAATCATTTGTGACGTATTTCATTATTTGAGAATTGATAATGCAATAGGCTTTAGTCCGAGAAAGTTTTTCGAATAGATATTTTTTCAAAAATGTTCACATTGTAAATGAGCTGTTGTTTTCAAATAACACAAAACGACTGCTTGCTAGTGATGAATATAGTTAAATGGAGTTATCGTTAGGATTGTTCATCTTTGTGATGATTTTTTTCTTCAAGATAATGACAAAAGTTTTGCCTTACCGTTAATAGTATACATGAGAGGGTTAATTGTTGCTGATGTTCGTTTACCATGTAATTGGTAATTAGATCACAAAGTTTTGTTTTGATTCAAAGTGTTGATTATAGATTGAACCGGATGCTTGTCAAGAACATTCAGTTCCTAGGTAATGGTTGACCATACAGTGCTTGCGACCGCTTACTTGAAAGTAAATATGAAATTCGAATAGAAGTGTTGCTGTAGTTATTCAAACGATATGAGATCAGTGGTATGTTGTTGTGTTAAAGATTGATCATTGAGTTTACAAAGAACGCGAACACATTTTAAGTAAACAATATATTGTCAAAGACTTTACAAGACATTGGTTAAGTGACTTCGAAAATAATATACTCTCGTTTGATTTTTTTTCACATATTCTCGCCGAACTTTATTTCTTGAAAAACTTCTGATGTTGTATGAATGCAATCTAATCTTGAAAGGAGTTGGTGTCGTCTTGAATGCCGAAAAGATTTTTTTCAGCATTTAATAATCTTATCTAACACAAACTCTCATCGAGATTAAATTACCTGCATATAACGTGAAACTTTTACATGACGAAGTTTTAGTCTAGAACAAGAAATATACATACAATTATTAATCAAAGGTGAAGGTTTTATTAGTAGTTAGTCTCCTTAATTCTTAATTAGTTCATTCAGCTTATTCTCGCTCTATTTTACTGCAGTGAATAATATACTTTTGGCCTTTTAAATCTATTTTTTTTTACATTTATTCATCATTTATACGCGCTTTAATATTCTTAATAAACACTTTATATGAAAATATAGCAAAGAGATGTAAACTTATCAAGACAATTGTTTTCCAAGCTAATAAAGAAGTAGAAAAAAGAAAGAATAGTCAAATGTCTTTTGATGTAGTGTCAGACAGTGAACAACAAATATCAAAAACAAACAAAAAAATAAAATGAATTATGTTAGTGTTCTTTTGGTGTTTGGTCTATCAGATCATATCTTGCTATTCCTTCAAGGTTTTCATCAAATCATCATCCTCCAAACTAAATAGGTTTAGATTGTGATCGCCATGACATCTACAAAAAAGTCAACATTTGCTTTTATTGCACTTCTTCAATACTTTGATACGGTTCTTCTTACACGATCGATTATTCCTTGTGGTTTAAACTTCTTTTTGCAGTTGGGACATTCATACATATTAAGAGAGTCTATTACCAACACTTCAGTCACCTTTCGCTAAAATTTTCTATATGACATGGCTACTTCTTCTGATCTTCTTTTATCTGCACTATTTTGGCACTCTTGTATAGTTGATTCAATGTTTGAAGAAATAGTATTAATTTTAATATGTTTGATAATTACTTAACAGCAACTGTTTCTATATTTAGTGGTTTTTCTTCAATTTTTGATGTCGAATTTGTCGATGTCATCCATGACCTTGTTTCGCCCACTTTTTCTTATTCCAATATTTGCAGGATATTTCGGGGTTACCGAAAGTTCGCCAATAAGACTTTCGCCAATTGGCAAAATTCCAGGGAATGTATTGGCGAAAGTGTAGTGGACTTTCGCCAATTGACGAAAGTACATGTAAGAGTTGAAGCTACAGTCTGTCGAATTCAAGAATTTCTGGACCCGAACCCGATTGATGGATCTTTTAAGAGAAAAATTGAAAGAAATTCCAAAAAGATTATTATATACATGAGATATTTCTTTGGATCTCGATCCGATCAGTAAAATTTTCCGAACCCGGACATGAACTCAGTGATTACAAAGCTATCAGACCCGCAACCGGTTGGGTTCGGGTCCCAGTAGATTCAACGGGCTCTAGCTGCAGTTAATGTTGTTAGAATGTTTATCATAGCTTACACTCATCAATCTAGCCGACAGAAATTTTCGAATCTATATCTAGTTCGCAGTCAAATTGGCGAAAGCCCACTGTACTTCCACCAATTGACGAAATTTCAAAGAGTATATCGGCGAAAGTACAGTGGACCTTCGCCATTGGCGAGAGTCCTATTTAGCGAAAGTCTTATTGACGAAGTTCCGGAATCCCATGTTTTTTCCGAGGAAACTATGAAAAAATTATTTTTTTAATCAAATATGGTCCATGTTCATTTTCCATACGGTTTGCGTGCCTAAACCATCTTAATCGGTTACGTCACATGAGATTGTTTATGGAGAGTTAACCAGATAGCTTCAGTATTATCTGGTCTGGTAAATGATCTCCTAAATTCAAACCAAGTATCGTTCTGAAGCATTTCATATAGGATGTAGGATTCGTAGTTTAGCTTCTATTGATATTGTTTTTCGATAGAACATGATATTTCTTAACATTTTGAACACTGTTGTTGATTTCGCTAATTTTGATTCTGTTTCTTTATCTGTTCCTTGGTAACGAAAGATTCAACAACTAAGATATGTAAATGAGTCTACTTTTTCAAATTTTTGATTTCTGATCATAATATCAGTGTCAGAGAACTCAATTTCTTGGTTCCTCATGGTTTTTCTATTATCATCTTTTTTGAGCTGTTGTGTTGGTACAATACAAGTCTTCTTAGCATTCGTAGTTACCCCATATTCCTGAGTGACTTTTGCGAAGATCTTAATTAAATTCTCTAGATCATGAATAGTTTTGGCCAATGCAACTAAACCATTAGCATACATGAAAACCAAGATATCAAAACTTTCGAACCAATCTCTAACACCATGGTAGCAGACACTGCTTCTATAGGCAA